CCCACAACTTCTGGAGGGCCAGTGGTTGTCCATTGCTTCTGTGGATATTTTTCCTTGAATTGTCCCACAACTTTTATATATATATAAAATGCAGGCAATTAAAAAAGAACATGCAGAAAGTTTATATATATATTACTTTACGCACAATAAGACAAAATCACACATGTCCCAAAATAATAAAAAAAAATAAAGCCTTTTTAGTGGCAACCTGCTGCAGCTAGTGACATTGCTTCTGTTATGCCAGCAGAACTGTGCAACAGGATACTGACCAGTGTTTTGTTCTGTTTTAAAGTACCTGTTATTGTCTGCTTCAAGTAAAGACTTTTGCCGTTGCACTTGCCACAGAGTCATGGAGCTACCAGATAGCCACAGAACATTGAATTTCTCACAGCCTACAGTGTAGCTCTGGATCCTATCATTTGATCCTTTACAACTTTTTGTCTAGCAGCTTACATAAGAAATGTGAAATACCAGCAAGCATATAGATTGGAAAACAACATTGGTTGCAGTAGTTATTTTTACCATAGCTTCTACCAGTATTGGTAAAAATTTGTTGTGCATCTATACTATAAATAGAACATGTAAGTCAACTGGTTCCAACGCAGTGCCTTCCATATATACGTATTAGACAACAAGTTCCACCCTTCTCAGCTAGCATTCATGTCCTTTCCTGTCCCAGAAGTCAAGCCAAGACGAGAGAAAGTTTGAAATTGACCAACAGGTAGTTGTACTCAAAGACAAGATGAGGATGGAACTTCAAAAAAACCTGCTACAAACTAATCCTGGAAGATAACAATCATCTGCCATCAAGTCAACTCTGACTTATGGCAACTAGAAATTGGCACAAACTGCAGTTTGGTGGTTCGTCCCAGTTCAGTTCTGAATCTGTAAAGGCCTTGCACAGGTGCTACACACCTCCCTCTCCCCCTCACTGTGTGTGTGGTCACCCATTCCCTGGGTGATGCACTGTTTCTCTCCCCACCTCCTCAGCACAACTATCCACTCACCAACCACAGTGCATGCTTTCCTCCTCCACCTCCTCCAGCAGTCACCTACTCAGACAAAGAGGCAGGGCAGGAAGCATGCAGAGCTGCATTTGAGTAGGCAGAAGTGGCAGAGAAGGGAAGTGTGCACTACAGCTGGCGAGTGGGCAGTCACACTGAGGAGGCAGAGAAGGAAGTGTGCATCGCCCAAGGAATGGGCGAGTGCACAGAGGAGGCGGGACAGGGGAGTGTGCGGCACCTGTGCAGCACCTGTGTGGGATGGCACTGAACTAAACTAAACTGCCCAATTGTGGTTCATGCCCATTTCTAATGGCAACCCTTTTCAGGGTTTTCTAGGTAGAGAGTACTCCCTAGAGTGTGGTTTCCCATTCCCTTCTTCTGGGGGCACCCTGGACTGTACAGTTTACCCAAGGTCTCACAGGCTGGCTCTACTGGCACCAGGTACAGTGGGGAAACAAACTCCCAACTTCCGGCACTGCAGCCAGGTATCTAAACCACTCAGCTATCCAGCCAGCTGCAATCCTTGAAGAAGAACATGACAAAGGAAAAACAGTTTAGGTGGACTATAGGTGGACTTCTTGACTAGCAGGATCTCCGCTTGAAAAAATGCCTTATTCTGGGTTAACTCAGTAAAACGCAACTTCATATATTTAAGAATAATTTGCTGAACATAGAGGACATATTTCTAACCACATGGGGCAGCATGGTGTAAGACATGGAGATGGAGAATAAAAGAACAAGACAAAGGGGGGAGATAATCAGTGATGGATCAGCTAAGACAACTCCTTTAATTTTATTGAATTGCTTGGGTTAAAGTTATTCAAATATTACAAGTTCATCATGAAACTATAGCTTTTGAAAGTAAAACAACCTGCAGCCTACTGGTGCCTTCTATTTTGCTATCCTATCCACCAACAGAAAAACAGTATGAAAATTATGTTCAGAAATGGGCAACAATTTTTATTCGCTTGATATTGCACAACTGTATGTTATTTAGTTGTTGATTAAATAATCATCCCCTCTCATTGTTAAGAGGTAAAAAATAGAACATTCATGAACATCCCCCTCAATGCCATTAAGTCTCCCAGGTTAATATTATCTCCTGTCTCTATTTAGTATATTTATGTGTCTTGTGCTGTCAAGTCAGAACCTACTTAGAGGGACTATTATAGGATCTTCAAGTGGAATGATATAATAAAGGTTTCACCATTTCTGCTCCCCCTGTCAGTTTCCATGGCTGAGTGGGGATTCGAACCCTGTTCTTCAGAGAATATTCTGTCACTCTATCCATGACACCACACTGCGAATATTGTCTCCTGTCTCTGCTTAGAATCTATCTTAAATGTAAGGGTTTCAGAACTTTTTCAGTTTGAGGTTGTTGCTGTACCATATCCATTGTAAATAAGAGCTGTGTTTTGAATGACAGCAGGTTTCGTAGCAGCTTCCAGTGAATGATGTTAAACTATCCATCTGCTACTATGCTGAAAGCCAAAGAGATTTTGTCCTTTGGTTTAATCACTCCCAAGTTAATCAAATGGGGAAAGAATTCCAAAATCAAGCAACTGATCTGTGTGTTCCTTCCACTCTTTCCAGATAGTATATATTTTTTCCTCTTGGTGTGTGTGTGGACTTCAGAATTGTTATACAAATCTCACGATGGAGAAGTTGCTTTTAATTTGTTTGTTTTTTGTAAATGTGGGAGGTCTGATAATCTGGTTCGCAATCTGAATGTTTTTGCAGGTCCCAGGTGCCTAATGCAAAACGCCTTGCCTGGATAAAGTGGAAATGTATCCAGTGCCCTTTCAGTGTTGATTGAATCTGAGTCTTTCAGTTGCCATGCTGTCTGCTTTGGTCATATCAAGCTGCTGGATCTCAGCAGCCTAAGGGTGTCTCAGTGTGTGACAATCAGGGCGGTTGTTTTCTCTCTCCTCTTGCTATCTTTAGAACAAACAAACAGTCATTATCTTTCTACTCTGCCTTTTGTTTCTTGTGGAATGCAGAACACCTAAGTGGTTCAAGTTGGGATGGAAGGACAAGAACACAACCCTTGGATGGCTGGAGAAAGATGCTAAATTCTGATTCCACTCCTGAGTAACCAGAAGGGAGGAGAGAAGGAAAGAAGGGAGGGAGAATCTGGAGGAGCAAACTAGATGGATTACCACCTGAGTGCCAGCTCCTATTTATTTATTTATTTATTTATATATAAGGCCACTCTGACATTTAAGTCTTCCCCATTCTTAGGTCTGCTAAGGCCACCTAAGATATGGATGAAGAAAATCCATGGTGATCCAAGGGCTAAAATTGTAAGAGATGTTCTGACGTTCTTCTTAAAGAAGTTGTTAAAAGCAGGGATGAAGAGAAACAGATGTGTTGCTCTTCAAATTGCAAAAGGGAGTAGCACTTGAGGAGACCATGTTAGAACTGCCACTTGGCTAACAGAAACTACTAGTCCTGTTTGAGGTGGGAAAGTGGGGAGACGTACCTTGTATTTATCCTCATTTCCCAGTGGAGCTAATTACAATTTGGGCAGAAAGTGAAGGAATCAAGTCCTTCTGACCCAGCTGCTAATGCTGCAGCCATTGAGTTTCTCACTGGGGGTGATGGGAACTGTAGTCCCAGACATTTCAAGGGTACCAAGTTGGGAAATGGCAAGTGGATTTCCATGGCTAGGATCCTCTGACCGGCTGTTTCCCCTAGTTCTCCAAAGCCATATATATAGCTGCAACCCAGACAGATCTGTTTGGATGATAAATCCCTGTTCAACTTCATATATACTGTATATAATGGGAAGCCACTCAGAGGAAAGCATAGAAAATGGTGGAGCAAGCCTCCTTTGCTGTCCCCCCCCCGCCCCCATATCCTTGAAACAAGTCCCATTTCATGGTTTTATTGGCAGGGTGCGCAATTTGGACTTCTGAAAGAGCTGAATTTCATTCCCGGGCTCTCCAGTTGCCACCCTTAACAATGATCACAGGAACTGTTGCACTAATCTGGAACACATGTAGACCTTGATACTAAGCACTGAGAAAGCACTCCCATTGATTTCAACTTAGCATGTTTAGGATCAAAGTCTTGTTTGGAAACAATTTCTAGCTGTCATCTTCCTACAGCTTCTCATTTACTGCCAAAAATATTATGCTTTCCTTTAGAACTCTGCATTCTTGCAACTTCTCTTCAAACTGGATGCACTTGCAAGAAGATTAAAAAATGATCACACACTACTGTTCAGAAAGTGACAACTCCTGTGTTACCACTATTCTGTAAAATGTCAATATACTAGAGATACTGTCTGGTCATCTATTACTCCTTTTCTTTTCTGCTTGATCCTTCAAACTACTGTTATTTTGTTTAAGTGTGAACAGTGCCTAGAGATGTCAGAAAGATAGAACCTCCACATTGGGGGGCAGTATATCTCCAAATGCTGGAAACAAGCCAAAAAGGAATGGAGCTGAGCCAGATCTCCAAAAGCACTCCATATGTTTCCAGGAAGAGGTGAGGAATCTGGTCACATCTGCTGATATAGAGCAGTTCCGTGGCAGAAAGGGAAGCATTGAGGTGAGAGAAGAAGGAAAAGGAAGAGAGAGAGAGAGAGAGAGAGAGAGAGAGAGAGAGAGAGAGAGAGAGAGAGAGAGAGAGAGAGAGAGAGAGAGAGAGAGAGAGAGAGAGAGAGAGAGAGAGAGAGAGAGAGAGAGAGAGAGAGAGAGAGAGAGAGAGAGAGAGAGAGAGAGAGAGAGAGAGAGAGAGAGAGAGAGAGAGAGAGAGAGAGAGAGAGAGAGAGAGAGAGAGAGAGAGAGAGAGAGAGAGAGAGAGAGAGAGAGAGAGAGAGAGAGAGAGAGAGAGAGAGAGAGAGAGAGAGAGAGAGAGAGAGAGAGAGAGAGAGAGAGAGAGAGAGAGAGAGAGAGAGAGAGAGAGAGAAAGAAAGAAAGAAAGAAAGAAGACAGGCAGGTAGGCAGGCAGGCAGGACGGACGGACGGACGGACGGGAAACGCATCCTACCTCGCCTTGCCGGTGATAATGCTTCAGCCCTTTGCCCCCTTGGCCCAAGATCTTGCTCTTCTTGCTGCTCCCGGGGGCCAGTCCTTGGTGGAAGGTGGTCGACCTGTTGGTGGCCTGGGTCGGCGTCTCGCCCATCAGGGTGGACTTGATGGAGTTCACCTTGGTGCCGTCGAGCTGGGAGCTCTCCACGAGCAGCACCGCGGCCAGGAAGAGGAGAGGGCGGCAGGAGACCCGGCTCCAACTCAGCATGATCATCTCCCCTCCTCCCCAAAGGCCGGCGGCTTCTTTCCCGAAGGACTGGCTTGGGGGCTGGCTGGCTGCGTGCGGGACGGACGTCGCTGCGGCTCCCCGGACCAACGACGGGCGAAGGGATGGAGGCGAAAAGGCATAAAGAAATCAGAGTCACCGGGGATCTGGGGGGGCGGGCGAGGGGCGGTCGCCGTCAGACAGAGATGGGTGTCCGTTTGTTCAACCTCGAGGACAACGCTTGGAAGAGTCCGGGCGCGGCTCAGTGTCTCCAGGATGGCATCTTGGAACGCTCGTCTGTCTTGTGCGCAAGGATCGCGACAGGGAAGCCTAAGGAAGAAGCGGACGCGCTGCTGGGTGCGGGAGGTGCGGCTGCACCCGGGACAGGAGGACCCTCCCCAGCCGCAGAGCTCTGCTCGGGCTTCCGATGGAGAAGGAGGCAGTCCGGGTCGGATCAGACCCCCGGCGTCTCCTCCGCCTGCCGCTGCCTGCAGGGAAACTCAAACCAGATCCTACTCCGAGGTCCGTCCCTCTTTCTTTCTTTCTTTCTTTCTTTCTTTCTTTCTTTCTTTCTTTCTTTCTTTCTTTCTTTCTTTCTTTCTTTCTTTCTTTCTTTCTTTCTTTCGTCTGGACAGGGAGAGGCGCGACCGCCTCCTCTTCCTTCACCTAGCTGGTCCCGGGCATCCCGACGGTCGGAAAGCGCGAGACGTGGATCGGAGAAGACGGAGCAAGCGGCCAGGAAGACGCCGCGTTGGCCACCGCCCCCGGTCCGTCCGCCCGCCTGTCCCTCCCTCTGCGATGCAGCCTTGCTCTCCTCGGCTCTCCTGCTGCCCTCTTCGCTCTTATAGCGTCCCCCCCCCGTGGAGTTCGCTCTTGCCTCCGCCCCCTGAAGCTGACTCATGCCCGCGCCCACTCCCCACCTCTCCTTCCAGTCCCACCCGGCATCCTCCGTCTTCTCTTCCCACCGTCTCTGGAGGAGCCCGCTGGAACTGGTTCGAAAGCACAAGGGCTACCCGGGAGGACTTGGGCCTCTGTGCGTGCCCAGAGCGCCCCTCCAGCATCCTTGACCCTTCCCAACACGATCTGGGTTTTTTCATTACGGGGTGGGGTGGGATATGACTTTGAGAGAAGTCTGAAGCGGAACTTAGAGATGGCAGAAACCCTGGACAGGACTGCTAGGTTTAAGTAAGCATCCAAAGATTTTTCGCCTTGAGCCACAACTCTGTCCTGGGGGCGGGGGGGGAGCCGGCGCACCTTTCCTACAACAATTAGGAAAAGAAAGTATCCCAAGTGTTTTCTCCTTGCTGTTTCCTTCGACTTTCTCTCTCACACACTTTCTCTTTCACACAAACGACGGCCAAGCCGTTTGCCTGGGAATCCACAACAAAACCCACTGAAGTGGGGGGGGGGAGAAATATTTCCATATTCTTACTTAAATCAGAAGCAAGAGTCTTACAACCGGGGTGGGGAGAGAAGACACTAACAGATTTATAGCAGAAGACATATTACTGGGCCAGAGTCCTCTTAGAGCAGCGGATGTGAAGCGTTTTCCTACGTGACTGATTGGTTGGCAGGCAGACAGGCGGATGATTGATTCCATCAGTCACCGATCCAATCGTAAACCATGGCTTGCTCTTCAGTTGTCTGCATTCTGCTGGTTCAGATTCGATCGCCAGCAGAATGCAAGCAAATGAAACGCAAGCCATAGTTGATATGCAACATTCAAACTTGTGCAGTGACAGCGCAAGTCCCGAACTTAACAGGAGCAACACTTGCCCATAAATGCATCGCCACTAGTGGGAGGGACACTTCGCATCGGCTAAGTGTCTCTGGCCGCTGAGGCTGACCCTTCATAAAGTGTAGCGATAAAGGGGGATCAAGCAGGTTCTTGGACAGTGACCTGCCCTTCGAGTCGTCTCCAAAAAGACCTATCCTTAACAGGTCTGCCCAGCTCTTGCAAACTCAAGCCTGTGGTTTCCTTTACCACGTCAATCCATCTCTTATTTGGCCTTACGGAGCGAAGACGGCTATCAATAGCTACTAGACGTGATGGAGCATAAACGGCCACCTACATGTTATCAAAGAAGCAGAGTGACTGCACGTCGCTGGGGTACATGAACCGGGAAGGGCACTCTTGTTCCGCTGGTGACCTTCCCGTAAGCCCCTGGGATCAAAAGATCTAACCCCGCACGTCTGTCCTGACGATCTCATGTTCACGTATCAGAACGTGATCTGGCCCAGGAAAGCTTTTGCCACAAGAATCTGCCGTTTGATTCAACATTTGTTGAATTAAACGGATAGATAGATAGATAGATAGATAGATAGATAGATAGATAGATAGATAGATAGATAGATAGATAGATAGATAGATAGATAGATAGGATAGATAGATAGATAGATTCATCCATCCATCCATCCATCCATCCATCCATTCATTCATTCATTCATTCATTCATTCATTCATTCACCATCCCAGATCCGGAAAATGCAAGCGAACGAAATCCAGGCCGTAGATTTTACGCAAAGTTCAAACGCATAGAGAGAGCGGAAGCCACCGGCGAGAAACGCAGATCTACACGGCTGTTCCCCCGCCCTCCCCTTAGTAGCAGCCACAGACTGCAGATAGATTTGTCTCGGGTTTTTCGATTTTAGGACGCCGGCAGTTTAGGCTCCGGCCCATCGAAGAGCGCCCACATGGCGTGGATGTTTGGAAAATCTACATCATGTTCCGCCTTCTGGATTCTCAACGTCTCTGCTCGCTAAGTTACAGCCGCTGGTGGAGGCGAACACTCGGTTCATTCAAAGCTTTGAAGGCGAATGTCGTTCGGAGCACACGCACACGCACAGAGAGATCCCTAGGGAAGTTTGCCCACGAGGTTGGATCTATGACGCTGTGATCTTCTGCCGTCGAGACCGTTTTTGAGTCGATCCATTATCCGTGGGTAGACCTGGCTGAGGATTTTTTTTTCTTGTAACTATTATAATGTGGATGCCCTTACAGGACACTTCTGCCTCCTTCCCCACACCATATTTCTCTGCTTACATCATGATTGTCCATACCGTACAGAGTGGGAGTGATTGGGGTGGGTGGGAAGGGAAGCGATTATTAAACTCCCTGGACATTTCGGGGGGAGAGAGCGCGCGCTGGCAGCGGACTTTTCTTCTGGGTGGCGATGATGCTGCGAGTGGACGTCTTTGATCAGTTCCTTCCTTCCTTCGTGTGTAAACGCAGGCTTTAAAAAGAACTGGGAGGATTTCGGATCCCTCCATTTAGAATGGAGATCGCATCCGAATCGTTGCCTTGGCTCGCTTTTTGGGGGGAGGAAAGCAGGCTAAAATTACTCTCTCTGTGTGTGTTCTGTGCTCTCAAGTCGGAACTTACTTTAGCCACCCTAACGGGCCTTTCAAGGTACGTGAGATATTTTTAAAGAGTAGTTTTACCAGTTCCACTACCCCAGTGAGTTTCCAGACCTGAGCGGGGATTCGAACCCTAGTCTCCAGAGTCCTATCTAGTTCGTTACTCTCTCTCTCTGCTACACTACACTGGAAATCACTGGGATTAAAGTAAACACGGAAGTACTGTATTGGCTAGCCAATCAAAAGAGAATATGGGGCTCTGAGGGAGCGAGCAGGGGGCAGCGCCACCCCCCAAAATCTGGGGCTCAAGCGCTTCCTTTCCACTGCAGCTCCGCCCGCGGGGCGTAGATTGCCCCACCCCGCCGCACGCACACGTTCACACGTTCCCGTTCTTGGCCGGCGAAGACAGGGGCTGAACCTTGTCAATATTCGCAGGAGAGAAGAGGTCCTCGACGCATCCGCCTGTGGCAGGGAAACCTGCAAAGAGTCTTGTAGGACGAACGCGTTTTATGGGTTAGGCGCCTGCCTGGACTCTTAGCCCACTCGCCTCAAAGGCATGCCCTACTAAGGAAAGCCCTACATGGGGGAAAGAAACAGACGTCCCCAACCATCTAATCATCCCATCCCACCCCATGAACTCTTAACCCAGGCTCGAGGTCTTCTTCCCAAGGTCACAGGTGCAAAGTGCAAAGGGTGGGTGCACAGATGCCACCACCTATTTTGAGCACTACTGCATATTGTCCTTGTCATGTGCTCTCAAGTCCCAGCCAACTTACCAGCAGGGCTCCCACAGTAAATAAGATATTTAAGGAGTGGTTTTACCAGTGCCACACATACAGTGGTGCCTCGCATAGCGAGGTTAATCCGTTCCAGATTAACCTTCGCTATAGCGAAACATCGCTGAACGGGACAGGGAAAGCCATTGGAACACATTAAACATCGTTTAATGCGTTCCAAAAGGCTCCTTTACTCACCATTCAGCAAGGTTTCCTATGGCCGGCAGCCATTTTCGCGCCCTCGTTAAGCGAGGGGAGGGCGCGAAAACGCTGCGCGTGGCCATTTTGGGGCTTCCGGCAGCCATTTTGTCCGCCAAACAGCTGATCGTCGGAGCTTTGTTTTGCGCTTACCGATCTTCGCAAAGCAAATGTCTCCCTATCTAAAGCTCGTTGAGCAATCGCATTAGCGATCCAAAAAACAGATCGCTATGCGAGTTCGTCGTTATATGCTGCGCTCGTTAAGCGAGGCACCACTGTACTCCTCCAGGGAGTTTCCATGGCGGAATAGGGATTTGAAGCCTGACCTCCTGAGTCCTGGTCCCTCACTGTGTCACCTCCATCACTGCAGGCTCACACTCAAAATGAGTTGGCAGGATGGCTTGCAAAATCCATGGACACCAGATGTGATGGTGATTTCCATCCCCTACACCTTAGAGTCCCCTTCTCTCCCTGCATTATTTGGATTATACCAGTGGTTTCCAACCTTGGGGTCACCCAAGTGCCCTTGGACTGCAGTTCCCAGAAGCCCTGGCCAGCACAGCTGGTGGTGAAGGCTTTTGGAAATTGTAGTCCAAGAACACCTGGCCAAACCCCAAGGCTGGGAGCCACTAAATTATATCCATTTGCCCAGGAAATGCCTTCCTATCATTTTAATGGGAAAAAACAATTTGATTCCAGCAAGCAAAAGTTAAAGGCAATGGAATGTGCTCAGCAGCCCTACCAAGCCCGCACACGCAAGTGGTTTCAGGATGAAGTCCCATCGTGAGACTGCAAGCCATGGCCAAGTGAAGGGTGAAGAGCAGATGTGCTGGAGTAAATTTGCAGAGTTTTGTCGCAGTCCAGTCAGTTCAGTTGAATCACACATACAAAGACAGCTTCTTCCAACACCAAGTATATTTATAATATATACAGAAAAATTTTGGCAGTACAAGCCGGCAGCATGACAGCATGACATTCATCAGAAGAGATCCTACATCTTCTCCACATGTCCACACAGTTATACACATGCACAACTTACATATAGCCAATCAGTGAGGACATTGCATCACCCCAGACACTACTTCATTTAATACACATTCTCAATGATT